CTGCGGGTCCCGGGCCGGGCTGGCTGCGGTGAGGGGCTCGGGGCCGGGCGGGCGCTGACGCTGACGCTCTGTGTTGTGTTCCAGGCCATGGCGCTGAGAGGCTGCGTCCTGCTGCTCGTCCTGCTGCAGGGGGGAGCAGTGCCAGTGCTCCAAGTCCGCCCAGGTGCAATGCGCTGGAGCCGGCATCACGCAGCTGCCCAGCCCCCTCCCCAGCAACGCCATGAGCCTGCAGATCATCAACACCCGCCTGGCGGAGCTGGGCCCTGCGGCCTTCGGCAACGTCTCCCAGCTGATCGCCCTGCGGATCGAGAAGAACGACCTGTCCCGCCTCAGCCCCGGCGCCTTCCAGGGCCTGGCCGCCCTGCGCTACCTCAGCCTGGCCAGCAACCGGCTGCAGGACCTGCCCCCAGAGCTCTTCCAGCCCCTGGGCAAACTCGAGTCCCTGCTGCTCTCGGGCAACCAGATCCGGGAGCTCCAGCCCGCCCACTTCGCCCCGCTCGGCCTCCTGAAGGAGCTGCAGCTGCATGGGAACAGCCTGCAGGCCCTGCCCGAGGGCGTCTTCGACCGGCTCGCCAGCCTCACCAAGCTCAACCTGGCGAAGAACAGCATCGCCGCCCTGCCCGCCAAGGCCTTCCGGCGCCTGCCGAACCAGCTGCAGGAGATCCCGGCCGGCGCCTTGGACCGGCTGCGGGAGCTGCAGGAGCTGGGGCTGCACCAGAACCGGCTCCGGAGCCTCTCGCCCGGGCTCTTGGCGCACAATGCCCGCCTGCAGAAGCTCTTCCTGTCCAACAACCTCCTGGCGGCTCTGCCCCCGGGGCTGCTCCTGCGGCTGCCCGAGCTCTCCAAGCTGACGCTGCACCGGAACGCGCTGCGGGACCTCGCCCCGGGGACCTTCGGGCCCATGCCCCAGCTGCGGGAGCTCTGGCTCTACGACAACCAGCTCGCCACCCTGCCCGACCTGCTCTTCAGCAACCTCACCCAGCTGCAGGTGCTGGTCCTGAGCAGCAACCAGCTGGGCAGCGTCGCCCCCGCAGCCTTCCAGGGCCTGGGCGAGCTGCTGGAGCTGTCCCTGCACTCCAACGCCCTGCACACCCTGGACGGGGAGCTGCTCCGGGGCCTGCCCAAGCTGCAGAACCTCTCCCTGCACAGCAACCGGCT